ATATGATATATTTTTATTTAAAGCATGTTTTTCTAGCTTTCTGAGATATATATAGAGTGTTAATAATCCTTTTTATAGTCGATTTTCCCTAATAATTTTTCAATTGATAATATAGTCAACTCATTTAATCTTTCTTAAGATATTGTTAATTTTAGATTAGATTTTATAAAGCAATAGAATTATAGAACTATTGGAAGCTTAAATTCCTTGGAGAAAGAAGGTGAGTAAAAATATTAAAGAGAAAGACAGAAAATATGCAGGGTTTCTGAAATATGAAGAGATCTGAAAAAGAAAGATTGACTTAGAAAAATTAAGAAATGGAGAGTAAAATTTTTACACGTTATCTAATGAAGGAGTAAGAAGTGAAAAATTGAAACGTTGGGAAAACTATTCATCTACTCATATTTAATTAAGTCAAATTTTTACTTATATGTATCTAAAGAGCTTTCTTTCCTTTTATATTAAAAACTTTACTTTTATATTAAAAGTACTAAATATTACATTTTTTAAATGTCTATAAACCTATTAGTTTTAAAAAACGGAGCCCCAAAAAATTTGGGGACCTAAGGTACATGCCTTACAACTCAACACACTAGAGCCGGCCCTGCGGTACAATTATCCATAACTTCATATATTATACTCCTATAAATCTATTTAAATTCCCACAAATAATAATAGACTAAGTTCTTATTTATAAATACTTTATTCCGTTTGTAACCGAAGTATAGAAATACGGTTGAGAAAAGAATATATATATTTGCAATTCTAAACATTACAATATGCTAAAGATAAAGAAATAAAACCAATAAGATATTATTCCCAAATGTAGTTGAAAATCAAACCAAGAACTTATCCAAAGGCCAAGGGAGGCCCCTCAAAAGAGAACGTCCAGGAGAAAATTAAAAAAGGCCCCCATTTTTTTTTTTAATTCTTTATTCCACTTTAACCAACTTGGAGTAATGTCTTCCATTCCCCACTTAAAAAGATTACAAGTACAACCTAACCAACAAGTTGCCTTTTTCTTAACTTCTCTTTTATCCCTTTTCCAAACAATTACAAATGTAATGAATATATTTCAATTTCTATATATTGATACAGTACAGGAATTTTTATACTGTTAAATTATTTAAATAGTATTTCCTATGTCTCATTATATGTTATACTTTTATTTTTAATATGTCCAAAAGAACAGAGGCGATCCGGGATTTAAATTTTATAGATTCAACATTTAAGGTTCTTAGCATTGAACCCATTTATATTTTTATAGTTATGGGTTCATATCTATTATTTCTTATAATGTATGAATTTTTACAAATAAATTTATGCCCCGCGCTTCGAAAGTTATGGGCTCAATTGAACCCATGGTTATAATGCTAACCGTAAAAGAATGTCATACTTCTATATTTAGAGACAATGTAACTTTAGACTTTCTATTTTATCCTTATAGTCGCACAATTGTTTTTGGTTTCTCTTTTAGATCACACGTCAAACAAAGCCACATAAACTTGGGACGGAGGAAAATACCGACATATAATCGTTGGCAATAGTTGGATTAATGATTTGAAAATAAGACATGCTTACATGATGTTAAAATACACTAATACAAATTCATACACTAACCACATATATAACTTAGATCCTTTATAAATAGCAGTACATCAAGATTCATCTTTCTGATCAGTTCCTTATTCAAGAAATGGCTTTCCAATTCAAGAACCAAAACCCTAAACAAACTCACCACAATATGTCATCTATATACTCTAGCCCATTCAACCAAATGGAAAACCCTGCCTTATTATCATTACTCCAACATAGTACCAAAAATCATCACAATTATAGTAGTACAAATAATACAGAAACCAAGAAAAGTAGAAAATCCTCAAGTAGTGGTGGTGGCATTCTTCGTATGTTTAAACTCCTTCCCATGTTAACAACTGGTTGCAAAATGGTAGCCTTATTAGGTCGTCCAAGAAAGCCAATGTTAGCTGATAAAGCAACCACAGGGACTTTATTTGGTTACAAAAAAGGCAGAGTTAGTCTAGCTATTCAAGAAGATCCACACCGTCTTCCCATTTTCGTGATCGAGTTACCGATGCTCACTGGAGTTTTTCACAAAGAAATGGGATCAGATATAGTAAGATTGGCTCTTGAAAGTGAGACAAAAACACCTAAGAAGAAGGTGTTGGAGGAGTTTGTTTGGGCTGTTTATTGTAATGGTAGGAAATTTGGGTATTCTATAAGGAGGAAAAATATGACAGATGATGAAGTTCATGTGATGCAATTACTGAGAGGAGTTTCAATGGGTGCAGGTGTTCTTCCTTGTCCACCTGATCAGAAAGAGAATGCTGCTGATGGAGAAATGACTTATATGAGAGTAAGATTTGATAGGGTGGTTGGATCAAAAGATTCAGAAGCTTTTTACATGATAAATCCTGATGGTGCATCTGGTCAAGAATTGAGTATTTTCTTTGTTAGAGTTCATTGAAACTTAAAGAATATATAGTTTGTATGATAGAGATCACCAAGAAGTGTAATGGGATAGTTCAGATTCCTTCGTTAGGTCTCGGATTTGAGCCCTGATAATGAAAAACATAGCTTCTTGATAGGAAATGCTTTAACTTCCTGCGTAAAGATTCCAAACGATAATCCAAATTAGTCGAGTCAGTGATTCGTACAATATATGTAACCCTTGAAGGTTTAGGTAACTAAGAGGGAAAGCCAAATTCTTTTTCCCTTTATTTTTGTTTATAGAGCTACTAGAATGTCTAGAACACAAAGACAAGTTCTACCAAGGCCAGGATCTGAAAGAGAGGATTCACTTTCCGAAATTCCATGGAGTATGAATTATTGAATTGGTTTGACTTGTATTTGCTTCAAAAAGATAGTTTTACCTTAAATTAAGTTTTTTTATATGGAAAATTTGCAGTTTTTGTGTTTAACGTACATAATACTTTAAAAACACTTAGGTGCACCGATTGCGAAAATTGATGGCATGGAAGTATTGAAACTTGGAAAATGAAGAACAAAGAAACATCAATTCTCGTTAGAAGTTCAGGTACATGACTGTGTCTGTTAGGTTCATTTAAGCCAACTACCAAGAGTTAATAGTGGAGTAATAAGTATTCCTTCTTAGATTTCAGCTTTGGTTTTAGAGTCGTGCTTAAATTTCCCGACACGAATCCAAATTTATCAGTAGGGACCAATGCAGGTACCGAACGGTTGGAAACCAAGAAAAAGGTTCGTCTAAGGCATATTTTGAAAAGTAGCTGCACAAAACATGAGCAACCGTCTGTTTTTTGTTTTTAATATTGTTGCTTTCTTTTGTTTCGTGTGTTTGTTTTCTTTTCTTATGTCTTTTTTCTATATAAGTTGCCCAAAATTGCCGAATGAGTTATCCTGCAAACTTGACTAATCGCAACATCTTCATATATTACTAATTTAATACCAAAAGTGCTTCCTACCTAGCAGTATCTTGTTGGACTTTGGACTTACGTTAATTGGTTATAGCCTGAAAGGATAGTGACGTGGCCCAAGTGGTGGATAAATAAATGCCCTAATATTAAATATTGTGTGTGTGGATAAGTAAAGCCCAATAACTATTGGCCTTTGATGGGTAGGCAATCTTTATAAATAGAGGTCAACCCCCTTTCCCTAGCTATTAGAAAACTCTAGCGTATTCTGCCTCTTGAATACGTGGTAAAGGTAGACATCTCATCGGTCAAGTTCTATGGGAAATAGCTTGAGCATATGATAAAGGATTAGTCAACTCTCCAGTATCACTAAGATTTTCAATCACATATACAATAAAATCATCAGAGATGGCAGATCTTCTTTCTCTTTGTGATCTACGGAGTGGTTCATTGTGTTCATTTTACTCGGGGACTATGGGATCTACGTCATTGTTCCCTTGATTCTCCCTCACATGAATAGGTTGGTTTACCATCTTTTCATGTACAACAGGTACAGAGATGGTAGATCTTCTTTCTCTTTGTGACCTACGGAGTGATTCATTGTGTTCATTTTGCTCATGGACTATGGGATCTATGTCATTGTTTCCTTGATATCCAGCATAAGGCTCATAATCTCGCCCTCTCACAGCAACAAGAGAAAAGATAGAAAAAACCTGCAGCATCTATAAGAAAATTTAAAATTTTAGAACTTGTTTTAAAAATTTACAATCTCATAGAATTCATGCAGATATATATATATATATATATATATATATATATATATATATATATATATATATATATCAATTATTTTGCGATTAAGTTTTAGTCATATATATATGTTTACTCTAGGTCTTACGTTTCCTAGCTAGAAGTCTTTCAAATTTTTTAGAGAATTCGTCTATGTCACTAAAAAATATAGAAAATTCTTAGCTTGGTAAGAAAATTGTTTTTCTTCTCAAGCTTTATATAATATTGGATTGAAATAGAGTTTAAATGGAGTAACATGAACATTGAAAATACATATGAACGATCCAACATAATTGAAATTGAAGCGTAATTATTGTTATTGTTTTCTACCAAATGAGTTGTGATTTCATTTTCATATAATTAGATTACGACTGTGCCCTGCTTCTTTTGCTGTTAGTCGTAGATGGGATAAGCATCTTTTAACTGTGAACCCAAAATCTTGGCTTTAACGTGGCTTAGGGGCTGATTCACCTTGACATAGTACAGGCTGAAAATTAAAATTTTATGAAAATGGGTTATTTTCACTTTTAGCCCGCGTCAGAAACTATTTACATCTGGTAGCCGAAAAGTGTATAAAATTAGTATATAACATACAGAATATATATATATATATATATATACTTTTTCGGCTATTATTTTTACATCGGCTATACAGTGTCATTTTTCCTATTTAATTGCCAAAGGTTCACGTTCACATCTTCTTACATATCAACCTTGTGTTATGTTTAGTAATACTAACTCTTTGGCATATATTGTTGAAAAGAAAGTGAATAGTATCTCAACAGAGTAGTCTCTCATTAGTTAGTTTAAAACACCTTAGACACAAAATTTACTACCTTTAACTTTACAACTTTAAGTATAAAAAGAGTTACTACCTTCATCCAAAATATAGCCATTTTACATTCTTTAAACATAAACATGTGATGTCAAGAACATAAATGAATGTACATATTACAAGTATTCTCTATTTCACCTAGTCTAATATGTACACAAGTTCTTTCAAATTTTCTTGTTTTATGATCTTATACACAAAAGTTATAGGTTTGGGATTTCCTTTCCTTGAATCCTGCAGTTGAAAACATAAGCAGTACTTATGATTTCGGGTCCGGGAAGCAAATTACTATTGGGATTGCTCGAGGAGCCAGCTGCAAGTGAACTGAGATTCAGCTCCGATGAAGAAATACAAGGAAGTATTTCGAGTGTAGAACGAGGAGAGTGGTGAGAAGTTGCTCCGTAGTCGCAGGTTACAGAATGTGATCGGTGGCTTGTTTCACTGAAACAGAAACACAAGTTCCCTTTGCATAAGATAAGCATCATGGTCAATGGAGACAACTCAAACGAATTAATTGGAACAATCGATGTTAATACCAGAAAACAAGGATGATGGATGATTTCATAGGATATAGAGTACTGTTGACAGAAACCAAACATTTATAAAAGAAAAAGAAAAAGGACCCGAAAAAATCACTATTACCCGTTACATAGAGATTTTGCTTGCCTGGATGATGTTCCTGGTGAAAGTAGATTAAGTTCCTTACTAAAGTTTGTTGGGTCTTTTGGACTCTGCAAAATATCATGAAAAGTTAATGAATTGAAACCACTTGAATAGCACTATTTACGCGTTATTAACAGAAAATGAATGAAGTCTAACTATGATGAAAAGAAAACAATCAAACTGTAAAAGCTCGAGAAACAAAAGAGAATGAATACCAAATACCAATATGTTAAACATTAAACAGCTTGTAAAACTCACATGTAATTTCATTCTAGAGAAATCTTCGGAGCAACCTGAAATAGTAGCACTATGCTCACGTGAACTAGTATTACTTAAGAAAGGATGCTCAAGTAGCAACAGAGCTGTCGGCCGATCTGCAGGTTTTCTCTGAAAGCAGCACCTGAGGAAATCCTTTCCTTCCGAAGATAACGTTTCTGGTACAGGTGGTGATTTGTTCAGTGCACTGAACATAGCTTTGACCTAAAACGCGACAAAAAACCAGACACGGTTTCTTTAGACATCACTACTGGAATAACAAAAAAATTGGACTTCCACCCTCTTCATTGAGATCGGGCCAGTTGACCATGATTATATCGTCTCAGGCTATGAAGCTATTATGTGGCAACCTAATGGATAAAAGTTTATTAAAACAGTTTACCCCGTCTAATCCACTCCAAGGGGGCTGTCCAGTGTACATCTCAATGACAGTACAACCCAGACTCCATATATCGATAGCACAGGCAAGCTCTGGATTGGAATCTTTGCGTAACATAGCCTGCATTACCTGCACACAAGGAAAAGGAAAACCTTAAGAACAAGCAAAAGGAAACAGCTAGCCGGTATATAGAACGCAGCTTCAGAATACCTCTGGAGCCATCCAGTGAGGACTCCCTTTCAGAGATAGATCAGTTGCACACGCTGAGAGCTGAGAAATGAGAGAAGCAGAATCATAATACTGCATAAATGATAAATGACTGAAATGATTAAAATGCAAGAAAGTTTACATTGGAACTAGAATCTAAACCAGCATATCCGTGATAGACAATTACGTCACCAACCAGCTACAGCAAAGGCACATTTTCAAGTTCTGGTGTATACTAAAGCATGTTACATCACTTCCTCCGCAAGAGATGTTATATGACTATATTTGGAGTTCATGTGCATGTTTCACATGTTGTTTTTCCTCATTCTTCGTATTGTTGATCATTCAATTTGTCCCTTAATTATATCATGGTGATTGTATAACCGTATCAGATAATGTCTACTGGACATTTGAAATGAAATTGGTTGAGGAGTGAGGATAACATATTTGAAATAACATCAAGTAAAGTATTCAGTCCCTCCCTCCCCCAACCTCTGTTGAAAATATAAACTAGATTCATCTCAAGTACATGAATTTACTTAGTTCACGTATTAGGAAATTAATGAAAATGCATGTATGATTTTGCTCATGAACTAGGGAAGATCTTCTAGGAATAAATAAGATAGACGTATTAGACTAGGTATGTGTTAGAAAAGTTCTATAAGTACCTAGGCTATAGCCATTTTATGTAAGCAAGCCGAGTGAAATAAAGAAGAATAATTTCCTCACTTGTCTTCAAAGAGAATTTGAGTGATTTGAGAGTGCTCCTCCTCCCAAAAATCTCTAACAGACTCTTCTCTGATATAGTCCCCACCAGCGAAAGGCCCAACAGTGTCTTTTCCCTCTTTCATCCTTAGTGACTCAACCCGAAACCTCACCGTTACAGGTGGAGGGCCTTTCCACTAGGCTACCCCCCCCCCCCTCTTTTACAGTTCACTTCTTCCATAGGGAAAAGGAAGGAGGTGACGACTTTGTGATCATGGATATCGAACCATGGTAACAAAGGTTATTGGAATTTCCATTGTTTTATATCTTAACTTTAAGACTCTATTATGTATTCTCCTAATGTTGCTGCTTGTATTACTTTGGAGTAGAAAAAGGTTTTTTCTTTTTTTATTTCCTAAGGATCCGGTTACCCCAGTTGCAATTATGTGTCATCCAAAATGATTAATGATGGAGAACCAGAGGGAAAGTGAAGGGGAGCCTTGGAGCAACTGTTATGTCTCTGTGTGACCTATAGGTCACCGGTTCGAGCCGTGGAATCAGCCACTGATGCTTGTATCATGGTAGGCTTCCTACATCACACCCCTTGGGTGCGGCCCTTCCCCGGACCCTACGTGAATGCGGGATGCTTCGTGCACCGGGCTGCTTCTTTTTTTTTTTAAAACAGAGGGAAAGCAGTAATAAGAAAGCATTCAAAACTGGCAACTTCATAGATGAAACATGTAACTCATTCATACTACATGTAGGAGTTCACAAGAGAACTCAAAAACACTACAACAAAGTAAAGAAAGAGATTATCATATTCTATTACTCCCTCCGTCTCATAATATGTGTCGTGGTTACTAAAATTAGTTGTCTCAAATTATTCGTCATTTTAGAAGTTCAAGAAAAAATTGATTATATTTTCCCCTTTTTACCCTTAATAATCAATTCCTTTCACATTTAGTAAAAATATGGATAATGTCATTGATAGAGATGACACAAAAATTAAGAAAATATTTAATAAGGGTAAAGTAGTCAAAAACTTTTCTTTCTTAAGGGGTGTGCACAAGAGAATCACGACAGATATTATAAGACGGAGGGAGTAAGATTTAGAAATTTCCAGGCATACATGTTTTGCTAATCCGAAGTCTGCAAGCTTGACAATTCCCCATGCGTCAACAAGCAAATTTGCCCCCTTAATGTCCCTACTCAACAAAACCATCCAAGCCATTAGAGTTAGAGAAACAGATAAAGCATTCAGTCCAGTCAACAAGATAAGAACCCAATGAAATTCCTCAATCATATCCTAAGTACAAAATAAATATTGAAAGTAATATCATCGTTGCTTCATAGGCGTCAGTGTCCTGTAAATGGATCATTAAATATCATCTAACATTATCACCTTCATTAAACCAGGCAATTACCTGTGTACTGTCTTAGTGCTATGCAAGTAAGCCAGCCCTGATACTATATGTCGTGTAAAATTTCGAACTATCGACTCTGTCATAGCTCCACCATGGTCCCGGACATACTTATTAATTGATCCTGGGTGAACATATTCCAGATATATGCAAAAGGTATCTTCCATCTGAACAGCCAGTAGAATGTTATCCGTTAAAACGTTCCAAAAAGATATTCAAGTAGGTGGTGTATGAAGTATGAAAGAATATCTTCTTACTGTTTCACTTCCGTAATATTGAACAATATTTGGGTGCTTTAACTGCCGGAGCACTCTTATTTCCTGATAGTTAAGACAAAATCAACAAAATAAATGTATCTTAGCTAAATATATTTCTTTATACCATATTTCATAGCATTAACTGGTGAAAAGCACTTTTATAGCATTTGCTATTCCATAATAAAAGTTCAACATTTCAGTGTGACATAATACCAAAAATCATGCATAAGCAAGTCGAATGAGAATCACTGCCATTTGAAAAGTCAATTCTCTGACTCCAAATAAAATTTGTGTGTTCCAGATAATATGCTTAAATTTAAAGTTCAGTTTACTTTTGGCCTCTAAAATATTTTTTCTGGCTGTGTATCACGTATTTTACAATGTAAAGACCAATTTCAGGATTGTATGGTATAAGCAGGACATTAGGACTAACCTGTTCTAACTGCTTTATACATTCAGCAGATTTAGGATCATCTGGATTGAGATCAACTTCTTTCATCGCACACAAAGCACCAGTTTCACTATACGAAGAGAAAAGGCAATGTTAAATTGATAGCCAAAGTAGGAACTAGCAAAAAAAGCCAACTTTGATACATACCGATTAGTAGCTTCATATACACTTCCATAAGTACCACGCCCTAAAAGTCGCCCCTTTTGCCATTGACCTTTCACTGATTGAACATCTGGTTGATCCATATTGTTATGGCTGGTAGGTAATTGTGGCTGTTGTGAACCTCCGGGTGGAAGTGGTAGAGGGTGCACATTATTGCTTTCAGGCCAACCTGCTGGACTTTCTGGAAGTGATTTGTGATGTGAATGCACAGCACCATTTTGGTGATTCCAACTTCTGTTGACTGGATTCTGTGGAGTCGGGCTACTAAGGGGAGAATGATCAGCGCTTTGTGTAACCCTTGCACTTGAAAGTTGGATAGGACAACCTGCTCGTCTATCCAAAGAAATGTCTGAAGGTGATGATGCTTGATGAAATGTAGGACGGAAAAGGTCTACTGAGTTATATCGTTTTGGGCTAAGATTCGGACTTGTAAAACCGCTGCCTGGAGCACTTCTAGCGGAAACATTAAGTCTGAAGTTCTCTTCAACACCTTCAGCATTCTGATCCTGGGTGAAACATCTACGGCGATAAGTTGGAGTAGATGATCTTCTATGCACAGGATTTGTCATCTGCACTGGAGTTTGATAAGAAGGATCCCTGCAACATGCAGCGGGTTCACATTCTGCATCGTGAATATGTTTGACAAACTTGTAATTTGGTTTGTTTTTACAAAATCATCATGTCCAAGTTAAAGTGTTGCTATCTAAAGACAGTCGGCAGCCTCCATCATTTGCTATTAAGCCTTTTATTAGCCGGGGGGAGGGGGTACTGATCATTTCCGATTAATTGTTCTACCAAGAAAAGTCAGGCACAAGGGATCAAGAATTCTATTAATTCGGTTCGACAGGAAACACCAAACCAATGCCTTTGAAGCTGTTAGACCAGCTACTTTCCATCATAAATATTGTTGTCAAAGTCATATTAGCATCACAACCTTTACTATGATAAATCTATCAGATGTAAGCTACCACAAATACAAATGTGGTGCATGAGCAGATTCAAACACCAACCAATAACCTACAACGTGCCCTCGACATAATGCTGGCAAGGATAAAGTAAAAAAACTTCTTAACTCCACCTACCTGAGTTCAATATAGCTAGTTCGAAATCGGAAAAAAATATGATGGTTATAATAAACTGACATTAATGCAAAAACTGTTAATACATGATAATCCTCTTAGCATTGGAAGTGTCTTATTTGCCTTATCAGATATATTATTTACTAGTATTAGAAAGGAAAAATTGGTTCAAGTAGAATTGAGTGAACATAACAACTAGGAAGGTGTTTAGATAAGCTTATAAGTTGGTCAAATCATCAGTTTGTGATCACTTTTATGTTTATAGACACGGTTAGTAGCATCAAAAGTGTGCTTATAAGCTAAGTTGCTTGGACTCTTCACTTTCGGTATCGCACCCATGTCGACACGATGTGGGTGTGGGTGTAGGATTCGTACCGGATCTGGTCAACCATTTCTGGACACTTTGACCAAAATCCACGGAGAAATTCGGGACAGAAGCAATAATTTCTGAAATCAAAACAAAAGTTAGGGTGGAATTAAAGAAAATGGAATACCTTATATATAGAAATTTTTATGTTTCCTTTTATCTCCTCGACTGCTCGTCTTGACCAATATTTTCTATTCTTGGAATACATTGTAAGTTTTTCGCATAGTGTCTCATAATTTAGACATATTTTTATAACCCTATTTTTAGATATTTGAATTATTTTAGTTGAATCCTTGCGCTCCTGTATCTATACCTAGATCCGCACCCCCCAAATCTAAAAATTTAGATCTTGAAATCTCCTACCTCTAGATCCGCACCTGTATCGGACACCCTCGAGTCCGATCAACTTAGCTTATAAGGCAAATTTCAGTCAAAAGTCGTAAGTTGATTACCTCCAACTTATGACATTCTAGCTTGTAATCAATTTTGGTTTGACTAAATTTTTTATATCCTTAATGTATATCTTATTAACTCCTAAATGCCATCTTCAAAACAAAACCCCTAACTTTCTCCCCATTCTATTTGTATAGATTTTTTGTGAATAACATTAAGGGTATTATGGCCATTTTAACAGTTTCTATCCGGACATATAATGAGCTTCAACCTTAGTTGATTGATTGATCGAAATTGAAAACCTTAAAAATAGTGACAGAAATTAAAAGAAGTGACCTTATGACAGCAGGATTTGAAGCATCCCCCTGGACAATGGTAAGCAAATTCTGTTTTGGAGCAGAATTGAGCTCAGGAAGCGGCAAAGGTTGAGGCTCGGCGGATTTGGACCAGTGACAAGACCGAGACCCAGAAATCTTGTAGTTATCAGGAGAAACTGGCATAGATTTCGAACGTTCATCGACAACAAAAGGTTGAAAATTCGTATGCTGCAAATCAACTTCATCATCGCCAACATGTCTCAATTTCCGCACCCGAGTTAGCCGCCTTCCACCTCCATAAATTTTTCCGGCGTTAGGAGATTCAGAAGGAGAAGTAGAACTAGAAGAACTAGAAAAGAGTGAAAATGCTTTCCTTGAAAATGGCATTTCAATACGAACTCAGGATTTAGAGTAAGTGGATTCAAAATGAAAACAATCAATTACTATGCTTCTAGTACTAAAACATGTCAAGAATTGTTTGTGGGGTTGTGGGATTTAGGCCATTGATACTCCTCAAGAAAGGCTGATGGGATTGACGTCGGGGTTAAAGGGTAGGTGGTAGTGTTGTTCAAGAAACTATAGAGTCGTCTCTTGCAGGCACATATACTACGAAACTCATTCTTATTTTTGTCAAATGTTTGAATTTGTAAGTGTACTTGTATGTAATTGGAAGTCAGAAACACGATATCTTGTTTTGTTTCTTTTTGGTATAAAGTCAATTTGTCAGTAAAAGTATAATATTTGTGTACGAGTGTGAACATAGAAAAGAGAAATTTTTTCTATTCTAGGATGTCAAGGTTGACAAGTAGAAACAGCCGTGTGAAAATAGAAAAACTCACACGTAGTGCTTTATAAAAACGACATCACGTCAGTGAAGTCAGCCAGTCATAAGTCACCGTTTGGGTTTTTATTGAATAGTCCAACAAACCCTATTGTACGGATTATAATTATCTTTTTGAATGCTCAAGGGGAGTACGTTTTGTTTATTCATAGTTCTGGTATAAAACTTTTGAGATTGTTTAAACAAGTACAAGTTGTTGCACCTAGTTAGTTAGCTTTAGGTGGACGTGGGACACATCACTATATATGGACACCATCCAAATTTGATGTTTCTAGCACGTTTTGGGTCAATAACAGTTTGTTGATGTTCAAAAGGATTTGTCTCTTCACTAACTGTTTTGGGACCGACTAATTCGAATTCACACCGAAAAAGAATGAATGAGATCTTTGTCAATAAGGAGTACTTTATTCAATGACTAAGTGTTAGGGGTCTGACTCTTTGACATCGGGCGTGGCGCAACTGTGGCAAGGTTTGGGCGTGATGGCCTTGCCATCGGCCTATGTGCGGGCAAAACGATCATGCAGACAATGGACAAGACAATGTCATGTGAGCTGTTGCGGGCAAGTATTGGCCAAGATCTTGGGGCAAGCAAGGCATGCTTGGCAAAGTCTTGACAAGGCAGTGGGGGCAAAATTGGGGCGGCATGGCACGACGTGCGCGCCAAAGTCAGTGGCACGGACACTTCGGGTTGTGGCAGCGCCAAGTGTGGGCTAAGCTAAAGCCCGACGGTGCGGGATGATGGCAAAGGCTTTCAATAGCTAAGGCAAGGCTATGTGAAGGAAAATACAGGCAATGGCACGGGTGAAACAAGGGTTGAGATGGGCAAAGCAGAAACTCGGCCAAGGCATGTGCAGGCGGCAATGGCGTCGGGCGTGTGCGGAAAATTCATGGGTGGCAAATTGCGGGCAAGGTATTGGTGCGGAGCAATGTCAATATGAGCCAAGGCTGGGCTCAATGCCAGCCTTGGGCGTGCAGTAGCTGACCAAGGCAAAGGGCACATGCAGTGCACATGCCAAAGTAGTTGGCAGTTACCTTTTTATAACCACTTGTTCTCATATGTGATTTATGCTTGTATCCACTATCATTTCGTGTAGAACATGGCCTATGTAGTTGGAGATGTCAACTAACAGACTTAGTCTTAGCCCGACAAGTGGCAAAAGCTATAGACAACAAGTGTCCATATGTTGTCAAGTCCCAAAGGCTGCCTATATGCTATAAATAAGTGCCTTTGAACTTAGTCAGATTTTAAGTGGAATTTCGTGTGAAGTTCAAGTGGGAAACAAGAGTGAAACGTGAGGGTTTCTAAGTGTTTCAAAAGGGACGAAGGCTAGGCATTGGGCAGGTCTTAGTGTTGGCTAAAGAACGACTTGTGTTCTTTGTCAAAAGTGGGACTGTGGTCGACTTGTGCTCATAGTCAAGTGAGGGTTCCTTTGTAAGTTTTCGAAATTAATACAAAGGTTGGGATATTTCCGTAATTGATTGTGTTCTTTTTAATTTGCTGCCAAAATTCGTTTAAGGCCAAACTTGCTTAAAATTTGGCTAAGTGTTGGGAAAGGCTGAGTCAAGTATGCAACTTGACTGTCGCGTGGGTGTGACTTTGGACTGACCAAAAAGGCCCGTGACACTAAGCTCATAGAACGACAATACCATGTCTTTGGTACTTCGATGAGAAAGTTACTTTTTCAAAGAGAATAAATATAAGGACAACTTATGTTATTATACTCGTTTGAATTTTCCTTGCCTGTATGGAAAGGCCGGTTTCCATCTTCAACCTAATGTGAGAATTTGTGCATCCGTACTGTTACGCGGCGCCTTCCTGAAATTCCTTGGAAGGGCGACGTAAGGCTAAGCAACTAATGTCAGTGCAGTTAATGTCCGTCAACTGAGGTCCCCTCCGTATGGTAGACTAGATTGTCAGTGTCGTACGGGAAAACCAATGTCAAGAGCAATTGAGAGAACAGAAATGAGAATTGAGAATGAAAGAAAGCTTGATTGCATTAATGAAAGCTATTACAGAAAAGAATCACGGTGTCGAGGGGGAGAGACACCAGTACAGAGAATTGTTTGCTTGCTAGAAAGTTTGATTGCTTGATCCCCCCTAAAGTGCTTAAAAAAATAAACAAAAGCTACAAGACTAGACTTGACTAAGCTAGAGAAACATAATGGAAGTACATAAAATAAAACAACTCTATATTTACAATGAAAATGACTTAGTTTTCTACAAGACAGAAATAGGTCCGTTGTCAACAACATTGTCTTTGGCATCACGGTCTGCGCGCGCGGCGCTGTTGGCATCTGCCTGCGGTTGGGTGCTGGCGAGGGATATCGGTGGGGCGATAGAGACACATGCACACTTGTCACTTGGCGCAGCCAAGACTACAGGGCCGTCTGTGGCGCTAAGAGTTGGGAGGCTTGCTAGGACGCCATGGGGCGTGCCCAAGGGGTCATGGGACATGGCTGGAAAGCCGCCCATGACATTCTCCCCCACCTGAGTTGGCGACGTCCTCAGTGCCTTACTTGTAAAATAATCATCAATTAGGCTCTTGTAGGCTTTGAGGTTTGTTCCCCTCTTCCAAGTATTCTCCTCTGCATCACAGCCCTGCCATTTCACCAAGAACTCTTGGTGATCTTTTCTTGAGGCATGAATCACTCTATCATCAATGATAGCTTCAACACGCCTTTTCCCAGTTGAATTGGGGCCTCGAATACTAGGTATTGTGAACTGGCTCCGTGAAGGATCCTCTGTGTCTTCTCGAAAAGGTTTCAGAAGGCTGACATGGAAGACGAGATGAATTTTCCACCAAGCTGGGTTATCCACCCGGTATGCAACTTTCGCAATGTGCCTTTCAATGGACAAGGGTCTAATGTATTTTTGCAATAGGCGAGGGTCATGGACCCCCGCGAATAAGTACCGCTTTGGGATTTTGACCATCACTTTGTCTCCTACTTGGTATTTAACAAAGCGACGATTTTGATCAGCATGCCTCTTCATCCCCTTTTGGGCTTTGACGAGATAGCTCTGCACTATCGCCAAATTTTGCTTCCATTCTTTTGAGAAGCTAGCAGCTCGAGGAGATTTTGACATGTTTGGTGCATTCTCGGTGTGTGGGAGTAGCGGTTTCTGTACGGTAACAATTTCAAAAGCGATTTTATTTGTACTAGAGCTCTTTTGTGAATTGAAACACAGTTAAGCAACATCCAAAAGCTTCACCCAATTCTTTTGCGATCCGATTATAAAGTGGCGGAGATATTCCTCCAACATACCATTGAAATGCTCCGTCTGGCCATCAGATTGTGGATGAAAACTTGAGCTGTGACTCAATTTTGACCCGAGGCACTTAAAGAGTTGGGTCCAAAAGTTGCTAGTGAAGCGTGAGTCGCGGTCACTAACAATGCCTTTGGGAAGGACCCAATATTTGACGACGTGAGAGAAGAAGAGTCAGTTGTATCTTCTGCTGATATATATTGTGGGGCTGCTATAAAGGTAGCATACTTGGAAAACCGATCCACCACAACCAAGATAGTTGTGGGATCTCCAACCTTGGGCAATCCGGTGATGAAATCTAGGGAAACACTTTCCTAAGGTCTCTTTGGGACAGCTAGTGGTTCTAAGAGTCCCGCTTGTGTCAAGCGGTCCGACTTGTCCTTCTGGCATACTAGACAAGTCTTTACATACTGAGTGACGTCATCGGCCATTTGAGTCCAATAATATGCACGGAAAAGTAACGCCACGGTACGTTCTTCACCGGGATGGCCGGCCACAGAGTATCATGACATTTCGCCAGAAGAGTCCTTCATAGATCTCCTCCTTTAGGAACATAAAGTCAGTTGCCTTTCACTTTTAGAAAACCATCTTTCATGTAGAACTGGCGAGTCTTGCCCTGTCCTACCAAATCAACCAAATACTGTGCAGCAGGATCCTTGATGAGTAGATCTTATATCTTGTCCTTGATGGTGGTGGCTACTTCGCTCCCCCTTAGGGTGGCGAGTAGGCACACCGACGCTAGATCAGCTCTCCGACTAAGCGCATCAGCCACATGATTGGTCTTCCCACTTCGATACTCCAGGTCGAAGTGGAATTCAGCTAGGAGTTCCTGCCATCTGGCCTATCGACCATTCAACTTTAGCTAGTTCATGAAATAGCTAACAGCTGTGTTGTCTGTCTTGACCACGAACGGGGTCCCCGGTAGATAATGCCTCCAGAGACGCAAGCAATGGACGACAACCAATAATTCTTTCTCATAGGCGGCATAGTGTCGCTCTGCATCCTTCAACTGATGGCTCTCGTACGCTACAGGATGCCCTTCTTGTAGCAAGACTCTGCCGAGGGCATAGTCGGATGCATCCGTTTGTACCTCGAATGGTTTGGCCAAATCAGGGAGGGACAAGACGTGGCTACTAGACATAGCCACTTTCAATCGTTGAAAGGCCTCCGCTCGCCTGGGTCCCCAATCCCAAGGCGTGACCTTCTTGAGAAGTTATGTCAATGGCACTTGGATAAGGGAGTAGTTTTTCACAAATCGCTGATAGAAGTTGCATAGGCCAAGGACGCCTTTAAGGCATGGATATCCTTAGGCGGCGGCCAATCTGTGATTGCCTGAATCTTCTGTTGGTCCATCTTGATCCTCCCTTCCTCGATGACATGTTCGAGGAAGTCAATCTGCTTTTGAGCAAAGGAGCACTTGGACATCTTCGCACATATTTCGTGCTCCCGCAATCGGGCTAAGACCTTCCGCAAGTGCTCTAGGTGTTCTTCAAGTATTTGGCTATATACCACAATGTCATCCAAATAGACAACCACGAATTCGTCAATGTACTCTCGGAAGACGGTTCATCAGGGTGCAAAATGTAGCTGGAGCG